AATGACTGTGGGTTGTAGAGGTTCGATAAGGAGGGGTTTCTAGAATCTCAAATTCCAAGAGGGTGAAAACGCCCCTCCAATATTACAATATTTGTTATTTAAAAAACGGTTAGTCTTTCGGGAAAACGCTTGTACACGCATAATTCATTTTGTTTTTTTACATATTTTGAAATTTTTTCCAAAATCCAAAAAGTTTGGTAATTGCTAACCACGATTCTGCTTAAACTGCTTGACGTAAAAAGCTTATTTTTGGTAAACGGATTTTTCGAAAGTCAAATTTCAACGAGATGAAACTACCCCTCAAATATTACCAAGTTATATAATAATATCGCCATATTGTTTTTTCTCATGCTGACATAAATGTGAGAAAAATTTATCCAGTTTGTATGTTAATGGAAATGCTTGCTTTGCTTTATCATCACCATTACAAATGATTAAATCGACGCGAACAAAGTCGCGGGTACACGCTAGTTTTCTTATAAAAGTCATTAAAAAATTATGCTAGCAATTTTACCCATAATTATTCTCCTACGTTATGTTCAAATTTTAGATCCCCTTTGAATATACATACGATATATGAGAAATTTACATGCAAAGTTGTAAATTATTTAGGAAAGTTAAGAGCGCATTAACCACGAAATGTGTTATAAAATACCATACAGTCATGCCAAAAGCTTTTAGTTTTGGAAAGCGTTTTAGAAGGAGAGCTTTTAAGTTTATATGACTCGGATTTTAAGCTTTAAAACCTTAACGCTACACCACGGAAATCTTTTGAAAACGATACAAGTCCATTTTCTTTTTGTTTGTACTATTTCTTGTGCCTTTTTCGAACAAAAGATCATATTTATGTGTTTGTAATGCTTCTACACTTAGATAAAGAAACTAAAAACTGGAAACAAATACTTCATAGATTTTATAATACAAAAAAATTATTTAACTTCGTTCAAATAATATTAAAAAAAACAAACCAAACCAAAACAAAAAAAAACGATTAAAAAAAAGTCGCCTTGGCTAGGATTCGAACCTGCCTTACTACGGCTCCAACGTCATAGCAGCGTAAAGTCCTAACGCTTTAACCACGCGGCCAGCGAGGACTTGAAAGATTCTATGTAAAATTCTTACTTAAAAGATAATGTTTAGTGAAAGTACTTTTTTATTTATAAATATTTATTTAATTCTGTTTTTATATGTATGTATGCTGTATTTGTTCATATAGGGGCAACATAGATACATTATCTGTGAAAATTTCAACTGTCTAGCTATCACGGTTCATAAGATAGACCTTTGTGACAGACGAACGGACGGACAGCGAAGTCTTAATAATAGGGTTCCCGTTTTTACCCTTTGGGTACGGAACCCTAAAAACGGGATTTATTGTACTTACATACAAAGTGAATCACTCAGAGTGAAATCATCCAGTGTAATCATCCTAGTTTACATATTGTCATCCAGTTTGCTGGTTCCCATCCAGCGCACTGCAACTGTTTCCAGCAGTCCATTTTTCCGGGTTAATATGGCTTTAGTACTAGGTGGTAGGATTTCTCTTGAAGAAAAAATGTAAATATTATAATGTCGAATGGTGAATAGTTTAATAATTATAATAAGTTAAAAACTAATTAAATTTAAAGCTACTAATAGTAAATACAAAAACTACGACAGAGGATCGACTGGCAATTGTGAAGTGAACTGAAAAATAAAAACGGAACATTTTTCACTTAGCCTTCACTCTGGATGTATTTAGGAACGAATCTGTTGTAAAATGTTGGTCGGATATTAAATTGTTTCAGTGTATACTTACCTTTAGTGTATACTTTGGATAAAATAGTAATTATAAAAAATGTCTATACCTCTGTGGCAGATTCATCTATTCAATATAGAAGATCCATCTATCCGATAGAAGCGATAGCCTCTAAAAGAAAAATGAAAGAGGCTTTTTTAATTCAATCTAATAAAAATAAATGTATTGCTCATGCATCTGTAGATGTTAGTAATGAATGGCAATCGCTTCTTTGATTTTAAAGAACATAACACAAATAAACATAACATACGTAAAAATTAAAAATAATCATACAGAAAGTTTGGGCTTTTTGGTTTTACCTTATTAAGTAATTGTTATCAGGTAGTAATAATTGTTAATTTTGAAATTTAACTTGGGGGATATAATGTAATTTTAACAGAACGTCAACGGCTTTTCTAGACGTATCTGTTTTAAAAAACTAAAGTGTTCCGAATAGTTGAATTTAAATATTTCAGGCTATTTATAACTAGTACCTAAAATGATGTTTTTAGACGAATCATTACTGTTTGCGACGAGGCGTTGGGCCGAGTCCGGAAATAGATGAGTCCTAAAAAACATAATTTAGGTACGTGTTAAGCATACACTATTTTTGTCATACGCTTTTTACAGTTTTTTAGAACGATATTTGCAAATTTTCCATATTTGAAATTATAATGTTTGAAAAAGTTGGTTTATAAATTCATATCTTAGTAACGAGTTTGTTTATTTCATCGCATTTGACATGTCATTCGAAATTTGTCACAAAATCACACACAAATTCATCAACAATTTTAAATGTTCCAAAATCCCGAACATATTGCTAATAAGGCCAAAGAAATCAGTTGGATTTACTTCCTGTGAAGTCTCGTGCCATTTACCAGAAAGAATATGATGTTTTTAATTTGAATGGAAAGCTATCGTAAAAAATTTATGTATTCGTTGTAAATGAAGATGTATTGCTAAATTATTTCCACTAGAAAAGTAAGTACCTAGGTACCTATTTAAAAGAGGCTTTTAAATTAAAATATTCTTAAATTACAGTCACAAACATTCAAAACCATCGTCAATTTGGTCGAAATATTCCATGCTGAGAGCATAAGTGTTAAAGAAGATATTTATATTGACAAATTTCCAAAACTTATTGCTTTTTTGAAGAGGAATTCGGTTGTTACGAGCCTGTCTAAGGTTTTGTCCATAAAGAGATCGGTGATTTTTTGCCACGGCTAGTGATGAAACTTATTTATTTATTGCTGCAAGCCAATGATTTTTAAAATATATAGATGGTTTCTATTCCATTGTATTTGATTTTTAGGTAGCTCTTTGTCATTGGCCTTGTGGAGGCCATGTAGAAGAAGAATTGTACTCTCTACGAGTGCAAGACATCATAGAAAAAGACAACAGCTGCCTTTTAGTTACCCTTGCGGATACAAAAACTAATATCAAAAGAGTGTTTCCGGTGGTGAACGAAGGGAACGTTGTCAATCCAGTTGAGTTGTATAGAAAATATGCTTGTCTTAGGCCAAAAAATGTACCACATGATTATGTCTTCATCTCTTATCGTAAAGGAAAATGCACCGTGCAACGAGTCGGCATTCATTCATTTGGGAAGATGCCATCGATTGTAGCAGCATTTTTAAAGTTGTCGAACCCAAACGAATATACAGGTCATTGTTTCCGACGTAGTTCTGCTACTCTTGCTGCAGATGCAGATGTGGATTTTACATCGCTGAAACGCCTAGGAGGTTGGAGGTAAAAATTTTAATATTTTCCGATCTTGTTCTAAACAACAATAATTATTTAGGTCGTCCACAGTGGCCGAAGGTTACATAGAAGAATCTATTGAGAAAAAGAAGAAAGTTTGCAAACTGCTAATGGGGGAAAAGAAAATCGCGACCACTTCCACGGATGTATTACCAAGTACATCATCGTTCGCATTTACTCCACCTCATCAGAAAGTAAATTTACCTGCCAATGGAGGAGTCGTTTCGATTGCAGATGCAAGTTTTCAAAATGCACAAAATTGTTCATTTCATTTTTATTTTTCCAAATAACTTAGCTTTTGATATTGTTAGTATTTAATAATTTAAAAATCAAATACAATGGAATAAGAAACCATCTATATATTTTAAAAATCATTATCGCAAACTTACCTTAGTAAGTAAATAAGTTTCATCACTAGCCGTGGCCAAAAAATCACCGATCTCTTTTATGGACAAAACCTTAGACTTTTTAGGCTCGTAACCAACCGAATTCCTCTTCAAAAAAGCAAAAGTTTTGGAAATTTGTCAATATAAATATCTTCTTTAACACTTAACACTGCTCGCATGGAATATTTCTGACCAAATTGACGATGGTTTGAATGTTTGTGACTGTAATTTAAGAATATTTTAATTTAAAAGCCTCTTTTAAATAGGTACCTAGGTACTTACTTTAAACAAATAACTTAGCTTTTGATATTGTTAGTATTTAATAATTTAATTATAAATATATGTATAATTTTATGATTTTAGACAAATTTCTGAATGACAAAATAAAACAACCAAATAACGAATTTAGACATTTTAGTCCATAAAGGTTGCCATGACGACCTTTACGGCCTAGGCCGAAAAAGAAACATTTTACGGACTGAAATGAGTCCGTAAAATAGCTGTTTTTGGGAGCGTATGACAAAAAATATTTTTTTTCTTTATTCTTTGTATTTTTTTGCTTCCGACGACGGAAAGAGATAAACTTTAAGCATTTTTTTGTTCGTTAGGCAAATTTTATATCTGTAAACCTAACTTTTGACAAGTAGTTTCCGCTTGGATTAAAGGGCGGTTTACACGTTACGAGAAATCGTAACGATGTGATTGACAAATTTATGGTTCAATTAATCGGAAAAGTGGAGTACTGTTTACACGGTACGATAAATCGTAACGATGTTATCTATATGCCTTCAAACCCTAATAATCACTGCAGTTTGTCTCCAAAGTAAGAGAGACCTTTACAAGTTGATCTGGACAACTTGCAGTGATACGATTGCCCCCAACTATTTAACGCATACCTACGCAACCTACAAGGTATACCAAGTAAAACTGTCTTATTTTATGGATCCTAAAGTCGGAAGGGTTACAAGATAATCTATCAAAGACCTGTCGTGATTGTTCAGGCGTGGCGCTAAAAGCTCTACGCGCTTTCGTCTGCCCGAGTTTACTATAAAACGCAGCGCTCCAAACCGCTAGCAGGTTTGTGTTAGCTTTGCCGGTATACGCGCGCGATACTCTCCTGCAGTTATCCGTTCCTGCTGCTACCGATAAGTCTATTAAGTCAGTCGATTGACTTACGTGCCGGGAAAAAATAATTCGCGTTTAGAGATTTTAATAAATTAATAAAAAATAAAGACAATGGCAGTGCAAATGCATAGAAATATGGTGCCCAGGACCACCATCGAGAGATTTAAGTTCACTCGATATGAGGTAATTAAGCCATTAGTTAGTTTTTGGTAATTAAATTTTGTTCCCAAAAAACTTCATAATGAGATTTATTGTAACATAGTCGCCCAATAATAGCACACATTTTTAAAATATATTTTCCTTAATATGCGGAGATTTTTATAAATATAGTTTTACAATAAATTGTAGTTTTTCAAATTGAATGCTAAATATTTATTCGCTTAGTAGATTTGCTATAAATGTTTGTTTTGTTTTTAAAATGTTGGCAATTATAAAAATTGAATTTCTCAAGTCTACTAAAGCCTTATTCAGAACCTTAAAAAATTAATGGTTTTAATTATATTTTAAGCTTGATTCAGAACCTCGCAATTAGTGCAATAAATTAGTGGTTTGTGCCTTTAATTTCAATGTAACCATTCAAAACGTCAAAATTAGTGGTAGATATTTTCAATTAGTAGAAAAAGTTATCGTATACAGGGTGAGTTTCCTACGATGTTCTCTATGGGTATCTCGGAAACTACTGGAGATAGAGAGTCGGTTAAATGGGGAAAGAATTGCAGTTTTGTGGGGTCATAAATATGCGCCTTTCAGATTTTTGAAAAAGTTCATGGCTTACTAGATATTTAGAAAAAACCTAATTCCGGTTATTTTAAAAATTGTCCCTAATTCCATTATAAGCTATTTTAGACAAAAAGTTTTCAGATATAAGTTGTAGATAATCACATCTTTAATAAGACTGTGTCCTCCGTTTTCTTCTAAAGCCTGTCATTTTTGACATATGGCACAAACATGTTTTTTTAAATGTAAACCATAGTAGGCCATGACTTCATAAAAAGCGCCATTTTCTAAGCTTTTCAGCGATATAAGCTATAATATGTTTTCTTCGAAAAATTACTGAGTTATAGCCAATTCTTATCATTTTTAAACAATTTCACTTAGTTAGCCATGGAAACAAGTTTAATCGTCTTTGCTCTCAGAAATGTGAAGCTGTCACATCCAAACTTTGTAAATTAAAATAAACAAAAATTGTAAATATGAATTTTTCAAATGAAGAAAAGCGTGTAAGATTATTGGTTCAACTTTTCTTGACCATACATTTTCGAGGATAGGTTGACCGGTGAATGTTATGTTTTTTAGAGAACGATTTTCACGACTTGTTAGAAAAGTTAAATTTAGTTATAGCCAATTCTTATTTCTCTTGACTAATTTCACTTAGATTGCATGGCATTCTTATTCTTTTGTGATTTATAACTTATAAAAAGTCAGAATATATTACTAAACGGTTCTTTAGAATTTACATTACACAAACTAAAACTTAAAAAAAATAATATCGCTGCAGTCGAGTCACTGCATACACTTTAAGTTATTTTAGAAAATGTTCAAAAATTCCATTGTTTGGAGTTACATCTTTTTAAAACTGAATTATTACCTATTCTCACAAAAGGACCGGTTGATTTAATTAAACTTCTCTCGTACCGCCACTTCGAGTGCTTCTCTTAATTCATAAGTTCTTTTGTAAACCTTATTTTTAACCATACCGCATAAAAAAAATCTAAAATGGATAGGTCAGGTGGTCGAGGAGGCCCATGCAATTAGTCCACCTCTTCCTATCCCTGAGTTTATATTATTATGATATCAATAATTTTTAACATTTCTTTCATTGTGCGGGGGGGAGGGTCATAATGAAAGTCATTTTGGAAACACTCTATTGATGCGCGAGTATCTACACGCTTTTCTTCATTTGAGAAATTCATATTTACAATTTCTGTTTATTTTAATTTACAAAGTTTGAATGTGACAGCTTCACATTTCTGAGAGTAGCGGCGATTGAACTTGTTTCCATGGCTAACTAAGTGAAATTGTTTAAAAATGATAAGAATTGGCTATAACTCAGTAATTTTTCGAAGAAAACATAATAGCTTATATCGCTAAAAACTTAAAAAATGCCGCTTTTTATAAAGTCATGGCCAATTCTTTTCCCATTTAACCGACTCTCTATCCCCAGTAGTTTCCAAGATACCCATAGAGAACATCGTAGGAAACTCACCCTGTATACAGGGTGTTTCAAAACAAATGCGAAAAACTTCAGGGGGTGATTCCTTGTTCAAAATAAAGGGTAGTTTGCTTTGTAAACGTTGGGTCAAAAGTCAACTATTAGGGAGATATCGCGGTACAAAGATGGCGGAAAAATAATGTTTTTATTTTTTATCTTGAAAACGAAAAGAGATAGACTAATGAAATTTTACGGAAGCATTACTGTTATGAAAACACAGTTTCTGGTAATTTTTTCACTTTTTTAAAATGAGTGGAAGGGGTTGAAATAAACTACCCCTATCATTCCTGTTAATGAAATTTAAAGAAAAATCTTATCAAACTCAAATCAACTTAACAAACTTATCAAACGCAAATCAAAATTTGCGAGAAATGTCATTTTGGCCTTTGATTATCTTCCGTCAAGAGAAATTGTGGTTGGACATCAAAAGTTGATTGTTTTATAAGCTAAATATTATTAGGCTTTCTCTATGGATACAACTGACTAACGTAAGCTGTTGCTAGGATATTCTATTAATTTTAATTGTGTTTCTTAAACATTGTGAATGATCGTAAACTAAAAAGTATAAAGCGTAATTGAAACCACTAATTTATTCTATTGCGAGGCTCTGAATAAAGCTTTATAATTAAAAGTTTACAGCCTGCGGTAGTCAGTTGTATCTTGGGCTGTATCCATAATAATAATAATAATCATCTTTATTTCACATTGTGTATGAATTTACAGAGAATCTGAAAATATATCACAAAGGAAATGGTGTCACAGACAATAATTTTTTTTTTCCCCATTGAATTTGTCTGGCAATTAACACATATTTTTTAATATCATCTAATAAACACGCTGTAAAAATTTTAGAATGCCTAAAGTATGTTTTCCAGGTATAATAATTAAACATATATGGAATGGTCTGGTTACACTTTAAATCCGAAAAAAAAGTCTGGCACACTTATTTCTAGGTTAAATAGATGCTAAAATTTAAGAATAAACAAATTTCAAGTTGCCTAAAGAATGTTTTTTGGATTTATTTTTTTGCAAATGTTATGAGTTGCGCAGTAGCGAAATACCCCGAACCCCCCAGCCAGACTTAGGATTCTGGGTTCACAAGTTATTAAACTTTATTTTTTTTTATTATTCTAACTTGCTTAAAATATGTTCTCTAAATATGTCGCCAGCTCTAAGGCTAATATACCAATGATAAGTGTCTTAAAGTTTTGTTTGAATCTTCTAAAATTTGATATTTCTTTTATATTATTTGGTAGTTTATTAAATAACCTGAGACACATATAATATGGATTCCTCCCAGTCAGAGTCAATCTGTGTACTGGGTAATTTACATTTAGGGTTCTGGTGTTATACCCATGAGCCATCTGGGAATCAAATGAATTCCGATTTTTAAAAAAGAAAAGCAGAGCTTCATAAATACCGTGCTGGCAACTGTTACTTTTGGGTCGGCATTTACATGTGTGAAAGTAAATCGCATAGGGATCTTATTAAGTCGGAGTGAGAGAAATGCTACCGACCGACGCGACGCGCGACGGTGTTCTGTTGCGGCGTTGCCGATACGCCTTTCCCTATCAACTAAAGTAAAATCACGATCGCAAACCGCTTATTTTTAAAAGACTTTTTTTTCAAGAGATAACTAGATAAAATCATTAGACATGTTTCTGAGCATCTGAAATGGAATTATAAGGATATCGTTAGGGTGTCATTTTTTTTATAACGAGAAAACGTCAGTAATCGCGATAATTTAAAAACTCAACTTTTTAACACATAACAGGCCATAACTCAAGAACCACTTTAGATATTGAAACTTTTTTTTATTTTCAAGATCGGATATTTTACAATATGTTTACAAAAGAAAAATTCGATAATGTTGTTTTTTCCATTCAAAAATTGTAAACAATCTATCCATTTACTTTTAGAGCATAGCAATTTTCAGCAATCGTGTAATTTTTTTATTGATAAATATTTTCACATACTGTCTACAAACAAAATACAGCAGAAATATTAACAAAGTTCTTGAAAAAACTAAAATCTATTATTTCTAATAGATTTCGAGATATCGATTTTTGAATTCAGAGTTCTAATAGCGCGACCACTATCGAACACCCACTCAATTCCACTTATTTTTACCAAAAATGCAAGTGTTTGCACTTAAAAAAATTCAAGCTATAGGGAAAATTACAACGACTCGTTAATAAACAAACAAATTAAGTATCACGAGACGTAATTAAATCGTGAAGCTGAACGCGTGACGTACACCTTTCCCTAGAACTTTAAGTACTGACAGAGGTATTGATTGGGTCGATCGGTCAACTGCGACAAATCTGCTATATCCCCTTCCACGTCTCTTAGCGATGTGCACAGTTTCTCGGTTTATTTCATACGTTTGGCAACGTGTTTACTGTCCTCTCTTTGTTCAGTACATTATAAACGCATTGTATTCTTCTTACATACGGAAATCTCGACCCAAGACTAACCTTTGCCAGCCCTTGGTATAAACCCCATGCACCGTCATCAAACCCTCACTCTTGAAAAGTCCTCGGCAACTATCTCTACACTTCATATTTTTCATTGTCCTCAGCAGTCGCTTTTGAACAACAAATATTTTCTGTATGTCTCTATTTCCACCCCACAAAATGATTCCATACCTCAACACTGATAAGAAATTTGCATAATATAATATCTTAATAGTATTATAGTCCACATTACAGTCCATAAAGCCTATAATTAGCTTATAAGACAATCAACTTTTGATTTCTAACCACAAATTCTCTTAACGAAAGATAATCTAAGACTAATCTAAGTATAATTATTAGTGAAAAAAGTTAAAAATTTGTTAACTAATTGAAAATGTCTACCACTAATTTTAACGTTCTGAATGCTTACATTGAATTTAGAGCAACAAGTAACCACTAATTTTGAGCTTCAAAATGAAGCTTTAGAAAAAATTCAACTATATTTTCATATTTTT